TCTCTCCACTCCAACCCCTCTGCTCTATCTAGAGTTTGTCTATTCCTCCCATGCTCCCCCTTCCTATCCCACTATGAATCAGCCTCCTTATATCAGAAAAAACATTCTGCATTTGGTCTTTTGGGATTGGCTACCTTCACCTAGCATTATCTTCTCTAACTTCATCCATTTACCTGCAAATGCTATGATTTTATTCTCTTTTATTGCTGAGTAATATTCCATTTTGTATGTATGCCACATTTTTTTATCCATTCATCTATTGAAGGGCATCTAGGTTGGTTCCACAGTTTAGCTATTGTGAATTGTCCTGCTATAAACATTGATGTGGCTGTGTCCCTGTAGTATGCTGTTTTTAAGTCCTTTGGGTATAGACCGAGGAGAGGGATAACTGGGTCAAATGGTGGTTACATTCCCAATTTTCCAAGAAATCTCCATACTGCTTTCCATATTGGCTGCACCAATTTTCAGTCCCACCAGCAGTGTATGAGTGCACTTTTTTCCCTCACATCCTCGCCAACACTTATTGTTGTTTGTATTCATAATAGCTGCCATTATGACTGGAGTAAGATGAAATCTTAGAGTAGTTTTGATTTGCATTTCTCTAATTGCTAGAGACCACTGAGCCACACCCCAGCCCTTTTTTTGTATTTTGTTTAGAGACAAGGTTTCACTGAGTTGCTTAGAGACTTGCTGTTGCTGAGGCTAGCTTTGAACTCACAATTCTCCTGCCTCAGCCTCCACAGTCGTTGGGACTACTCATTTGTGCGGTCACACCAGGCTTATTATAGCAGTCTTATAGTGATATTTCATTGTCATTTTAATTTATAATTTCTACTAGCTTATGACATTGAGCATCTTTTCATATGCTTATTTACCATCTTTGGTAAAGATGTTTATTCAGATGCTTCACCCACTTTTCAACTATTTTTTTTAATTGTTGTATTTTAAGAGTTTTTTTTAATACTTTAAAGATACTGGATGCATTTTATATACATGAATATATGTAAATGTATTTTATGATATAAAATGAATTAAATCTTTAGCCTTAAATATAATATAAATATATGATGATTAAGATTTTCCACTCAACAATCCAGGCTTGAAAGAAATATTGTTTTGTTTGTTTGATTTTTTTGGTGGTGTTGTTGATACCAGCTCCTACTCTTAATGTGCCCAAAGAAGGTAAATTTGGTCAAGGACAAAATTAAAAGTTCTAATTAGCTTAATCTTCTAATTAACTCAACTTTTTACAGCTTTAAAGTAATGTTTAGTTATGTTACCATAGCCATATTAATAATGCTCCCTTGAGACCATTTATATAAAGCTTAAAAGGTTCAGTAAAAACATATAATTAATATTCTGGAATAGGGGGTGGATTTCTGTGTGATGAGGCATTAAAATAACTTTTCAAACAGGAACATTAAAGAATATTAAAATCATAATGCTATTTGTAATCAAGATAAAGAATTAGCATCAATTTCCAAAATACAAGATTAGGGGAATACCTAAAATTCTGGAAATAGATTTTGGAGAATATTTTTAAGTAATAACAACTTACCCCAATGCTCCTCAATTTTATTGCAAGTGTGATAAAGGTTTAAGTATTACATGGGCAAAGGGTTTAAATTAATTCATGAATGATTGAGCCACAGGGGGGTATATAGGGAAACATTTAGGGCATATTCACTAATTTTTAAGAATGATATCCTAAATAATGAATTTATACTATACATATTGTTGAGAAGACTTAAATGATCAATGTGCTTCATATATTGTCTCAATTTTAATTTTTTTTATTGTATGAGTTGATCTCTCCCTCTTCTGAACTCTACTATTGTTATTATAGTCATTATATTAACAATTTGATTCACTATGTAATATTCCTCACCTCATTGGGAATAAATGTCCTATGAATGCTCTTTATATAAACAATCTTCTCTTAAATAAAAAATAGAGATCCACAAGACAAACTCTCATTTCCATCTTACATAAAACAACAGATATATTATAGATTAAAAGACCAACCAGGCATAGTGGTACATGCCTGTAATCCCAGCAGCTAGAGAGGCTGAGACAGGTGGATCACAAGATCTTTATAAATTGTATATTGTGTTCCTAAATAGATGTACTCAGCCTTAGAAACTTCAAGGAGCTAAACAACTCAGTGAGACACTGTCTCTAAGTAAAATATAAAATAGGGCTGGATATGTGGCTCAGTGGCTAAGTGCTCCCAAGTTAAATCCCTGGGACCAAAAAAAAAAAAAATCCCCCCAAACCAAGTGATAATTTATTTATGTTGGTAGCTAACTTACTGTCTGCCATTATATATTCTTAATATTGTATTTTCTGAGCAATTTACTGACTCCTGGACTGGGGGGTGTGTATGTATAATTCCATAATTTTGCATAGTTATTACTAAAACAGATATTTGTGGATATTAAAGAGAACATCATTTCCACTCTACCTAAACAAAAATGATTGTGTTAATTTTTTCATTTTTGAGTTTTCTGGAATAAAAGAGGAACATAGTACATGGGACAAAACAGACTAGAAAACCAGGGTTGATAGTGTATTGATTCTGCCAATACTGCCTTAATGCTTTACTCTTGATAATTAGATATGTTGATTTCCCAATGTGAAAGAATTTTTTAAAAAATATATCAGGTAATTAAGAGTATAGGAACCTAGCCTTTTAAAAGTTTATTTTTATCCCAATTAAAGGGAAAATCTTCATAAAGATTTTTTGTTTTTGTATCTTTAACTCTAATATATGGAGGGGGGCAAGATTAGCAAAGTTGATCACTTATGGTCAGTGCAATGTAGAAATAGTGGGCAATGGACAGGCAAGGTATAGAGCAAAAGCTTTTGAGGGTAGAGCAATACAAGCATATTATCATGACCTGAGCTAAAAGGGAAGGAGTCCACAAATTATGTTTGCAGCATATATATGAAACAGATGATAACACTTTATCATCAATAGTTACATTTGGTGAATATTTGTTCTGTAAAAACAAAAAAAGCCAGTAAACATTACAGACTGCATTTTCTAACTATGGTCAACCATGAAAGGTATTCTAAGGCTTTGTATCAGTATTCTCCTTTTTATCTGAATAAAACATAATATTGAGTAAAAAGAGGAATGGCAGGAGTAAAGGGACTTGAAGTAAAGGAAAACATTGACTTCATAAAATTTTACATGGGTAGATCTTTATAAACTGTGTTGTGTTCTTAAGTAGATGTACTCAATTTTGAAGGCATACGTTGAATCAAAGAATTTCCTGAGTATTCCTCATTGTATAAGTACAAATTTAACCTCCTGGGATTCTGAAGTATGATATATTATTTCCCTTTATTTTAATTTATTGAAAATGAAGAAGATTTAGAGTTTTCAGATAAAGGTCTCTAAGAAGGTAGTGCTTTTCTTTGAATTGAGCCTGACATAGAATTGGCTCTCAGTGAAGCTTTGTTGAATGTTGTGTGACTACATCAGCATCACATTCTGTAATGTTCTTGTAAGTGATTACTAAAATTTCTACAGCCTCTTCAAGCCTGTGTTCTAAAAAGCTTTCTTCTCTTTTAATTATATTAATATATGTGTTTTCTGTTTATATTAGGTGTTACCTTCTGGAGTTCAGAAACCAGAGCTGTTTTCTTAATTTGTATCCTAAAATTATGTTAGATTCTGTGCATTTGATGATGTAAATATATAAATCAATACCCATTATTTTGCATTTTCTTCACAGACCCCAGTTTCTAGATGAGCAGCTGTGAAACTCACAACTGGATGAGCTTTGACTAGAATATTGGGAAAAGGGCTTCTGTTTGCAGCATATATATGAAACAGATGACAAAAAGTAGTTAGCCACATTAACTTCTGTGTTATAAACAGCAATTTTATTATTCAGATAAAAAACTGAAGCAAAAATAATAAGTAAGAGGATGAAGTACAGTTAGTACTGAAAAATATTTTCTGTTAATTACATGGATATTTCAGAGAAAAGCTTTTGGGGAGAATTTACACAAATAATTTTCATTTAGAATATTCTTTCCATTCTGTTAGGCACAGTGAAGAGAAAGTCTCAGGACTGAATCCCTATGCAAAAAGTACAGGTTATGTAAAAGATTCACTAAACTTTTAATTTACATCATTATAATATTTTACTATATTAATTATGTCATCAAAAATAATGTTAAGGGAGACATATAAGAAACTAGGTTAATAATCTTATGTAAGTGCATATTGTATGAAAAGAACCTCAAAAAGATCTAAAAATTAGTTAATAAAGTTATAAAAGTTTATATGCACAGAATAAATAATTGTTATAATTAGTCTTTTCATATATCAAAAACATTTTAAACACTTTTTTAAAAGCAATGGGCTTTGTTTGTTATCATTTATAATTGCTTCCCTTGGAATTGTATCCATTTTCTCTATATTCAAGAATTATTCTGCCATCATTAAAAGATGAATTTTAACCAAACAGAACAAAAATGTATGTTAGCTTATTATATACTTTTATAGTATTGCATTATGATTAAGAGCCAGACTGTCTGAGTTCAAAGTCTAGTTTTGCCTCTTTGTTTCCTGATCTGTGAAATGGGGTTAACAAGAGTACCTGCTTTTTCATCTATTGTGATGATTCCATGAGTTGATATTAAAGACCCTAGAATAATCCTTGGCATGTGATAGGAGTTAAAAAAAACAATAGTTTTTTTTCCTTCCTATACTAAGTTAGAAAAGTAGTTCTAGAGAATAAGTCTGAATATGTAACTATTTCTTCAAACACAGATATCTAAAAAATAAAAAGTATCAGTTTACACTTCCCATATTAAGTGAGTAGTGTTTGTATGTATGTGTAAAGGGTAGGGGGATGTGAGCTGAGGAAACAAGTAGAGTAATACTCTCAACAACTTTCAGGTAAAACATAAATAATGGCTGTTCTTGGATAATCTGCAAAGTTGAGTGAATAATTGATATATCTTTCTGTGACTTTTTGCAGATATCATGGAAATCAGGACAGTAGCGGTTGGAATTGTGGCAATCAAAGGGGTGGAAAGTGAATACTATCTTGCAATGAACAAGGAAGGAAAACTTTATGCAAAGGTATTTATAATTTATAGTTTAGAGTTAATTTTTCACACTTGTTTTTAATCAAAACATCTTGCCTTTCTGAAAAGTAAAAATAGAATTAATTTCTCTCTAATGGTATAATTTAATAATTTAAAATGCTATAAGCCCAAGCATGACAAAAAACATATTTATGTGACCTTGGACTTTGCTTAAGCTATCTGAACTCTGGTTTCTTCATCTGAAAAATGAGTTGGAATAATTGACCTCTAAGGATACTTCCAGTTCTATACTTCCACATGCATTTCAGATACTTGAAACTGAAAATTTCCATCTCTCAGTGTTAAAGCTCTTTTTGTTAAAGTTCACCCATTTGCACATTGCTGACATGAAAATTCTTGGGAGAAAAATCCTGAAGTGTTCAGTTCATTTATCAACATCAATCTCACAATCATGGGATTTGAACTATAAGCATTCACATTGTTCCCACTTTATTACAATGTAAAATATGTAACAGTTCATGCCACTGTAATAAAGTATAATTGACTTTCCTTTGTGTTTCCATAGCCCAACATAATGCCTGGCACAAGCAAAAAATGTAATATAAATTTAATTGATTAAATGAACGATTGCATAGATGAACAAACAAATTAACTTTTTATTTCCTATTACCATTGAAGACAATGTTGTGGCAAACAAGGAAAGGATATGAAATGGGTCCTACACCTAAGAGAGACAGAGGCTCTACTAACTACACAAAATTTCCAGTGGTTGGAGGAAAATGAGAGCTATTAATTAAGGAGAAATAGGTCCTAATATTAAAGAACAGTAGAAAGTGACTGCCAAAAAGTGACATTATTGAGACCATGTTGCATAACTAAATATGTATTGTTATCTTTTTTGTTTTATTTTGTTTTAGATTTAAGATTTTGGAGGGTCAATATACTATATAGATATATTTAATAAACGATATTAGGCCTGCTCAATCTGAGGTTAAAAAAGTTATATATACTTCAGTCCTACCAAATGTTATCTATTTACTTATTGTTTAATTGAACACCTTAAAAACTCATGTAAATTTGTTGTTTGTTGTTCTAACAGAAAGAATGCAATGACGACTGCAACTTCAAAGAATTAATTTTGGAAAACCACTACAACACATATGCATCAGCTAAATGGACACACAGTGGAGGAGAAATGTTTGTTGCCTTGAATCAAAAGGGAGTTCCTGTAAGAGGGAAAAAGACAAAGAAAGAACAAAAAACAGCCCACTTTCTTCCTATGGCAATAACCTAATCATATATGGTATATAAGAAACCAGTTCCAGCAGGGAGATTTCTTTAAGTGGACTGTTTTCTTTCTTTCTTTTCTTTCTTTCTTTTTTTTTTTTTAAGTAACCAAAAAAGATGGGAAAACTACTGAAAAACTGATCAAGCTGGACTTGCGCATTTATGTTTATTTTAAGAGACTGCATTAAAGAAAGAGTTGAAAAATATACACAAAAATCAGATTTAGTAATAAAAGTTGTAAAAAATTGTAAAACTAGTTGTACAATCATGGTGTTAGTAATAGTAATGTTCTTCTTAAATTAATTTACCCTTAAGAGTATGGTAGATTTGATTATCTGATAATGATTATTTAAATATTCCTCTCTGCTTATAAAATGGCTGCTATAATAATAATAATGCAGATGATGTTATATAAGATATGTCAGACCCTAAAGGCTGCTGGAATGATTTGTCAGATAATCAAGCCAACACTAAGGAAGATGAGCAGTAATTTGAAATGCTTTCCAATGAAAAATTATAATCCACTTAAGCTCTAATCAGAAAAAAATCTATTATGGAAATTAGTAAGATAGATCATTTTACAAAATTATTGGCTTAGAACATGCTTGTACTTATTAACAAGAACAAAATTCTTAATGCTGCTCAAATTGAAAGGCTATTGCTACAAGGATGTTTTTAAAATTTTTGTATAAAAAATAGCAATAATGATGATAATACTGTATTTCATCTCACTTGCCACTAAATAACATTTTATAATCCCTAGAAGTAAAATTCAGAAATGTTTAAATTTTTTCGAGTAACATAATCTATCTTTTGTACAATTCATATTTGGGAATATGACTTTTAATAATGTTCTCCCCATAAATAATCATGCTTTTTTCTGTGGTTACAGCATTAAACTCTATTTTAAGTTGTATTTGAACTTTATTGTTTTGTTATTTAAGTTTATGTTATTTATAAAAGACAACCTTAATAAGCTGTATCTGTTTCATATGCTTTTAATTTTAAAGGAATAACAAAAGCGTCTGGCTGAACTGCAAATTTCCCCTCCCCCTTGTGACCAACACCAAGACTAGTACACAACACTGGGGCCAGCAAATTCTGGATGGCAGACAAAAATGACAGCCTGCAGCAATTCTTACAATAGAAGTCTCACAAGGAATAATACAAATATGTGAAAAATGTTTTGCCACAACACTCTTGCCAATTAAATTGGATCGTATAAGTAAAATCATTACAGATGAAAGCAGTTACAGAATTTTAAAGTTAGAATATATTTGAGAGCATGAGTAGAACTGTATCATTAAAAAAACTGTGTCTATTAAAAGTTAATTTTCTAACCTCTAGAAATATCCACCATCCAAAATATGAAAGTTATTTTCCTGTTAGATGGCAAGAGCACAATGCTCCAAATACAGAATATAGTTAGGGATATGAGCCCCTGAATACCATGAGGGCTTGAGGTGAGGCCACAGATATCAGGCTTATCAGAAAGACAAGTTAACTATTTCAAAATTCTTCCTTTGGCAGATGTTGGCAGTACTTTTTATGTTGTGCTTTTAATTTCAAAATGTTTGTCATTCAATCCCTTTACATTATATAAAATATTATTTGGTAACACACCAATAAGAGAGTTATATGAAAAAGTTTTGTCAAGGGAAATAGTAGCCATTTGATTTTCTTATGTTTTACCTACATGATCAGGCTTCAGGAAGCTAGGAAGAATTGCTCTTCCTCAGATAAACTCTGGGAAGATGCTACATAATTATTACTACATAATTTAAAGACCTTACCAGTCTAGATCCTTAGATCAGGCTTCTGTGACTGAAATCTTGTGAGCATATTGAGGGGAGAGGAGAACTAACATTTTTCATATTTGTTTCCTTAGTGCTTAGCAGAGTGTTTATCCATAATTGATTTTCTGGTATGAATTAAGTCAATGTTTGAATAGCACAGAAAAGTTGTAATGAATACTTCACTTAAAATTGAAGTGAAACATCATTATGCAGAGACTTATATGGAAATAGTATATAAACACATACACAATGTAGTTAGGCAAAACCTATAGTTGTAAATCCATTTCTAGTAGTATAGGTTATCTAAAATAATCTTTCTAAAACCTTTTACTTTTAATTCTTGTTTTTTTGTTCTAATTTTCACATTTATCATGCAAGTTTTAGGAAATAAAATCTGTTTTAGTTACAAATACTTAGAGTTATAGAATCTTAAAAACTTCACGAGAACTTCATCCTTCTTAGTTATTTGTAGATCAGGAAAATGAGGTTTTTTTTATACCCAGATAGAGGCAGAACTGTCACAAGAGTCTAGGTTACTTAGCATATTCTTCTTACTCATAGATTATTATGATTATTAGCTCATGGCCTCCTGTTTTTGTTTAGTTTTTATTTCTATTGAGAAATGATCTTTACATTTGCAAACAATTATGATCCATTTGGTAATTTACTTCATATACAATATTCATCTATACTGTGATAATTTCACCCAAAAGGAGAAAACAAATGATGCAATTCTTAATTCTGACTCTTATTCAACTTTCATGTACATCTCTTTTATAAATGGAAAGCATTGTGAAAAGTATCCTTATAAGCAACATAATCCTTTCTACAAAGCTCTTTAAGAGAGAAAATCAGGTAAACACATGGGTTTCCAGAAACAAGAAATAAAAAATTAAAAGAATATGAAATGTTAATAAAATAAATAATAAAAGTTACTTTCAATGCACTAAGTGAACTAAAACATTTTGCCATAGATAAGTCATAATAAAAGTTGGCAGCCTTTGAGTTGGTTATAAAATTTGGCGATTTAATGACAAGAGAGAAAGGATGCTGATTTTTTAGAGTGCCAAAGAACACAAAGGCTGCCTATGCAGTCTAGCTGTGATAAAAGCAATTCTGTAAATACAAAACCCTGAAGCTGTACCCTCAGATTTTCTATTAAAATACCTATAAATAGAAGAATTATAGGGTGATAATCTAGGGAATAATATAGACAGTTCACCAAAGATAGAAAGTTTCCTGAAAATCTTTTCTCTTAAAATGCCTGTGATTTTTGCATATTCCTTCAAAATATGTTCATATTTATTTTAAAATAAAAATGTCTTCTACTAACACCAGTAAGCAAAATTAAAGACTCAGGACATACAAGGTTTATCATGAGGCTTTATTTACACCTCTACTCCAATACTTGGGGATAAATCAGATACAAGAGATCTTATATAGTCTAGCTTTACAATTAAGTAACACAGTACTCAAGGAATGCAAAACTTAATCTAACTTCACTATGTCCAGAAGTGATATTAAAAACATTTAATAGTGTGGGTGGTTCCTGTTCAATTTGAATATACCATTGATCATCAGAATGGATGAAGGCCACTATGACTAACTATGGATACCAGGTGATTATCAACTCTGACCATTTCTGTGATCATCTAAAATAGTTTTGGGAAAATATCTATAAATTGATCTCTCTTGTTTGTGTCTTTAACGTGTATCTTCATATCAAATAGTTAATTAAAACTTCATTTCTGTTTCAGCATTGTTGTCAGGCTTCTCTTTATTAAACCATTTTTATTCCATTATATTCTACTATATTTATTTAATACAAGGGCTGCTCCCTTCAATGAAAGTGACATGTTTCCACATATGCTCCCATCTATCCTCCAATTTTGGTTTGTCAAGAAAATTTATTCTCTTGAATTGAGGAGACTTGACAGGAAGAAAGAAATAATAAAATCCTAGTCTTCCCAACAATTTTCAATTTCTTCCTTTTTCAAATGTTTCCTCCAGGCAACCAGGTATTTACTTTTACCTGAGAAGATACCTCTTATACTTTCTTTTATTTTCTGATTATTATGTTCTCTTTTCCAAATCATCATCATTAAATATATGAGAGCCTACACAATTTTTTTCTTTTACAGTATCAATACCTACATCCTAATAATTGAAATGTCAGACAAATAATAATATTCAGCTTGAAGATGACAACCCTGTTCTTGATGAATCCAGCCTTGTATTAGTTATTTATTGCTGTATAACAATTAAAACTTCATTTAGCCATTTTGTGGTCCAGGAACTTGGGTATGGGTCAGCTAAATATCTCTGATTGTAATCCCTTATAAAATTGCAATCAAGTTTTAACCAGGACTGCAGTCATCTATCTTAACACTCAATTCAAAGAGCGATCCAGCTCAGGTCCTTACTGATGATTGGCTAGACATAATTTCTTCACTGTATGGGCCTCCAATAGCACTGCCTATAATAGTATTCTGAAGAGCAAGGAACCAGAGAGTGAGAGTGCCCCAAATAGAAGTTACAGTTAAAAAAAAATTTCAAATACAATGTTTCTTTGTTTACACCTATGGGACGGTATTGCCCAAGGGCATAAGGGTACAAACATAAGAGGATCACTGAAGGCCATCATACAGACTGCCTAAAACAAGTTATAAACTAGATGCTTTTAAGACCACCATCATAATCTGCTTGAATCAAATGTATGAAATATGATATGTCAAGAGCTTTGTAATGTTTTGAACAACTAATGATAATAATAATAAAAAGACCACCATCATAAATTTGGGTTATGATTTTCAGTGGTGAGCCATTTAGCAGAAAAACAGATGACATAGGCATATTCTCTTTGGAGACAGTTTTGATCCATTCCTGAGGAATACTGAGGGATACTGTATATAGTCCTTTATTATATGGAAAATTTTAAGAAAAGGTTTGAATCACAGTCAGGACTTCTGCCCAAGTTACAGCTCCTTAGAAATCTTAAGATTGCTGGAAAACTAATAATATCACTTTTACCTCCACATGAAAGAAATAACCTGCCTTCAGACTCAGTCTGATAATAATCCCACCCTTCACTGCTTTCCTTGGGAGAGTAAGATAATAGATGTTGAATTTCCTTTCAGCCAGATAGAGTTTTATCCTAGATGGCAGAGGAAATCAGTCACAAGTTGTCTAAGACCATCTGAGCATAGGGAGTCCTAAGACGACATGAAAATCATTGATTTCAATACTAGGTACATATCAGAAGTACCTGGTGTTTTGTTTGTTTGCTTGCTTTTTGTTGTTGTTGTTGTTTTTTTAAATAATGAAGAGAAAATCCATTTTCAGGCAAATCACATTAGTATATCTAGGATGGGGCACAGGTAATGTTATTTTTATAAGTCTTAGGGGTCCTGATGTGCCTCTGCAATTGAGGTCTAATTAGAACAATAGGGGGCAGGGGTGTAAAAAACTTCCTTAGGAATTATACCTGGTTTTCTATCTTTGTCTTTTCTTTCTTAAACAGTTTGAAGAACTATTATTTAAAAATTTCTCTTGGTTTTCCTAGATCTCTTCATGTTTTACTATCATTATTGGAGTTAAAATAAAATGCAAACACCAGAAGGAGAACTACATTTGTTTTTGCATTAAAATAATTACAGAATACAAAGTGCACAAAAGTTTCCTCCCCACTATAATCCATTTTCAAAGACAGCAGCTAGAGTGATTCTATTAAAATATATTTCAGATCATATAAAATTTTTCTGTTCAAAACCGCAATCATTTTCCACGTTACAGAATAGAATATCAAGTCCTTTTAGAAGTCTATGGAGTAGCATACAAAGAAAGGGATTAAAAACTTTTATGTTGAATAAGGCATGGGAAAGGCCACAGGAAAAAATAATAAAAATATAGAATTCAGATTGCTTGGCAGATATTATAGAATTTTCAGTTCATTTTAGATAAATTGAAAATGGACATTATAGACCATATTTAATGGGTATGAAAATTGTTAGAATCATACTCAAAAAAAGGCCATAGTCCTGCATCAAAATTTGACAAATGAATACACTTTTTTATATTTGCAGTAAACATAAAATATTTAAGGCATATATCTATATCTGTATATCTC